CCTTGGGGCTCTGCACTCGGGATCCCTCTCGGGCCCTTGGACTCTGGTCTTCGTTGGTGTATATTTAATATACTTCTAATCGCAATTTCTATCTTTCTAATTACTTCTCTGTTTTTCTCTCTGTTTCTATTTTCTCTTCACTTAAAAAAAGTCACTGATGATGAAGAAATAAACAAACTAAATAAACTAATATTTGGTTTTGTTTTCTACTGAAGTGACACAAGAAAAAAAACATTGTTTTTTTGCACAAAATACCACACAGAGCTCAATTATTGTTTGTTTCTGGTGCTCATCTGTAACAATGAGACAAAAAAAATTGATGTTTCATGTTTAGTCAAATCTGAACACAAAATGTCAACGTTAATTACAACAAACCCTTTGAGGGCAAACATACTATTCATGTGACCCTCAGTAAAAGTGAGTTTGACACCCGTCTTATATGGTGATACTGACATTGTGTCTGACAAGGAATCTACAACTGATTTTGAATTGGTTTCTTGAAGGAGCATCCAATGTCACAATGGAATTCTGTCACTGCYACTCTTTGAGTTTCAGCATGAATGACTCAGTCGAAGGAGGAAAAAAATGAGGAATTAAAAAAAAACATTCATCCTCCATTCCCTCTTTCTGATGTTGTAAATCATGGACAGTCTGTCTATCGCATAACCTCACAGACTTGATAAGGATAGAGAGCCACGTTGCTATAGCAACACGGGCTGAGTGAGCCCATGAGGGTATGTTTCATGAAGGAAAAGCGAGTGGGAAGGGGATGGGTTTTTACATATCTCAACATGGGGTTGGCAGGAAAAAATGTGGTGATCTGCTTTTGGTAAGTCAGCTGCCGTAACTCATAAGGTGGCATTTGTCAACTTGTCATGTGATTTGGTTCAGGCTAATAAAGGCATACTCATTTTCTGTATCTCTATCTTACTTTGTCATGGGGAGGCCCATGTCTTTTTTTCTGCATGTTTTTTCCCCCTGTATTTCTTGGCTGCTTCCCTCTCAGTCTCTGGTTTTCTCCCTGTGCTGTTTTATCTCTCACTTTACCAAAYTATTGACCTTCTCCTTTCGCTGTTGGAGGCAATTGCCATCATTAGGCTTGTGGCTGTTCTTCACCTTCACACAGACAAAAAAAAAAAAAGCATCCCAAGTGTACCATTTCACATCATCCCAGAGTTGTGGAAACAAAACAAAACAAAACAAAACAAAACAGAAAAACAAAAAACAAACAAAAAAATACTAAAAATAAATGTTTCTGTTTATTTTAACATCGTGCACGTGAGAACCCTGACTCAGTTATCACAGTACAAAAGGCAGCTTCACAAAGCTTTTACCATTTTCTTCCAGGTGTTTTCGAAGAATGTAGCTGGTCTCTGTTCCCTCAAAGGCATAGTCAAGAGGGATGTTTCCATTGATGTCCTGCAGAAGAACATTTACTCCGGCCTGTTTTGAAAACAAAAAAATACAAAAAAAGTGTTATATGTTAATTTGAACTACATCTCTGATCGGGCAGGAAGGCAAAGGAAGGAGACATTCCCCTTTTCCATGGTGTAGTGTCGGAAGGGTCGGTATAGGTACGGGTCGGACCGGTTGGTTTCCACTGATGTTCCAGTCCGGTTTCAGTGGGTGTGTTTTGTGTTTTGGGTGGATGTGGTTTTTAGGTTTTTTGAAAAAARGTTAATGGGCAAMATCAGAGATGGAARCACATTTGATGAATAACTTTTGAAATTTWAAAAATTTGCAAAAATTTCGAATTAAAATTGGATGGAATCACGACTAATGTCACTGCTACAATTGAAAAAAAATGGCTCCTTGAGTCRTTCTTGTAAAGGCAGCTTAGAYGCAACCAGTGACTCCACCCCCTATCCAATCAGTGACGAACAGTGTTCTGACGTAGCATTTTGGTGTCAGCTGGGACCGCTTGGAACCACAWTGAAGTAGRTACTAAAAAAGGGCCGGTTCCATGAATCTGGCCTAAAGGAAATGGCTTGGAACCGTACCRACAYTACACTRAGTGGCACTTGTGGAAAAGGGGCATAAACAGAACATCAGAAAATCAGTTAACCTTAGAGCTCAGAAGCTAAACATCAGACGTTTGATCTTAAAACTTAAAATTGGTTATCTAAAAAACATTTTAACACTTTTCACATATGTTTTTATAAGATTACTG